GATGTAGTTCTATTAGCTTTACTGAGTGGGGACCTACAGCTTGCGCTGGGCTAGTTTGCAGTGTGAAGTGGCTGGAATGAGATCACTATTGATTTACCTGTAAATCTACATCCCTACCTTCATCTATTACCACAAGCTGTAAGACAGAAACAAGTTTACATCTCTTAGCTTGGATGGATAGACAGAGGGGAGGTCTGGGCATCTCTTCTTAGACTGCTGCTCTCTTTACACAAACTCAGATAAGTGGCAGAAAATTAATGGATGGATATGTTACATGTCACAACTTTTTATGAGTATGTATTGTAAAACTACATAATTTTCTTTTTAAACCGTATGCATGGAGATCCCAGTGCATCACCTTATCAGCACCAACACAGAGTTGCCTGGTTTAGTTCAGCAATAAAGCATCAGCCAAACTGTATAAAGTTAGATGCACTCTTTGATTTAATGCAACCTGAACTTATTAGGCTGGAAACTGGTGTTCTGACAAAGGAAGGTCAGTGTGTAAAATGTTATGAACTTAACAGCATATTTAAAGTTAAACAAAAGTAATGAAACTGAAATAAAACCAGTTTATCTCATATGATCCAAACATAGATAATTATACTTGGAGGGGATTTGAAAAAAAGCTGCTTATTGATACCAGGGGGTCAGTCTGAGTTCCTGAAGTGCTTTAAATTCACTATATTAAAGCAACCTAAAACAAACCCAAGAAGATGGTTGAGTAGCTTAGGCTTTGTCTGAGTCATAATGCTGTGATAATCCTCTGCTACCCTCCTGTTGCTCTCAGGAATAAATCTAAAGCAACGGGAGTGGAACATCTTTTATTTATTTACCCAAGACAAGTGAAGTCACTCACTTAAAAATAGAAAAAAAAATACCCATGAACCAATCACCAAAGAAACTGTGATTGGTTGACTGATTCCCCGCAAACCGTGTTACGTTTCTTTGCTTTTATTTTTATGTAAATGAGCAGAAGGCATGAATATATTGCAACTCATCAGTAAACTCATCATAAACATCTGTGTTCTATGAATATGACTGTGGTGGGAACGTATCTTCTAGCAGCACTGCTCTGTTCCATTAGCTGAGTGGAGTAGCTTTAACTTTGATGGGATAGATATCGCCTTGATTTATAGACTGTCAACCAAATCTGACATGTACTGTTGATGTATTTAGCCAGAAACTTCTTCAATCAAACTTCATTGTAGCTTTGCAGAAAATCTCATTGATGTCAGATTATGTCATCTGTCAGATTTTATAACTTCTGTCTAAGAGATATCTCAGATGGATGTGGAACATGTCAGGATTTTAAATAGGACTGACAGAAAAACGTTTACCTTTCCAATGTGATACCACATGAACAGAACAAATGGGAAAGGCTAAATGTTTTCAGGTGTATTCTAGATTTTCAGCAAGTTTCATGCAAATAGATCAGTGTGCAGTAAAAATCAGAAGACTTTTGTTTGCAGTGCTGCTCTATTTAAAATTTACTAGAAATTTATACTGTTCAGAAAAACTAAACAGTTTTGTTGACGGGTAAATACATCAGCTAGCTTTTATTTTTCTTTCTTTAAGTCAGCAAAAATAAAAGAATGGGCAGATCTGAATATTTGATGGTTGATTACAACAACTTTATTGACCTTACATGTATTTCACGCTGGGGACATTTATTTCTGAAAATAGCCCTGCTGGGACACGACAGATTAGATGACCCAGTGGGTCCTCGGAGAAAAGTTGATAACCCTACAAAGACTTATGATAATACAGTCAAAAGCTAAAAGTTCAAAATCTATCCAGTTGTCCAGTGCACAAAACCTACCCCTTCCTCTGTCTTACATGTTAGTTTTATCTTAGCAGAGATCTGTTCATATGAAGCTCTGAAGCTTTGTCACCTTTGTCAGTTATTAAAAAGCAAAAAAGCTCTTTTCGGCCATGTTTGACATCTGCAGTGTTTGGTGTTCAAAGGTGCAAAATCACTCTAAGCAACTTGTAGCTTTATTTTTGACACCTTATTCCTAAAAGGAAAAACAGCATAGACATTCACATGTATGCAGTTAATGTGTGACTAAGTGTCAGTGTCTGACAGCTAGTGTGTGTACCTGTTTGACTGCCCAAAGCAATCTGCTGTAGCAGTAGATCATCACTATGACAGGCAGACCCAAGCAGAAAATGAAGAGGCAGATGATGTAGGCGTGCGATTGGGCACTGTTAGCAGTCCAGGACACAGAACAGCTTGTTCCTGCCCCCTCTATGCCATAGCTGCTCCAGCCCAGTAGGGGGGGCACTGTCCAGAACAAGGAGTACAGCCAAGAGCCCCCAACGGCTATTAGGGGCTTACGGTAGTCTGGCCCACGCTTGTTGTAAACAGTAAGGGTGCTGTAGCGGTCGTAGGAGAGGATCACCAGAGAGATCAGCGAAACTATACCTGAGAAAGACAGAGATGTGGAGGCGTGAGGCAGTGGGGGTAGGATGTAACTGGCTCAAGAGGGCAATAAACATTTATACAGTTTATAATACAATAAATTGCAACAACAGGCAGTCATAAAAGTACAGAAAACAATATTATATGATCTTAGTCTTTAATGCTGATTGTTCTTGAAAAAACACTCACTTAAAAGTGAGGAAATCTTAAAGGTGATTGCAAGGTACATGAAGTTTTGAGCCAATAAACTTCCACCAGAATCACAAAAGCCAACAGCATGGTACTCATGGGAAATTCACGAGAGTACCACATCAATAGCTTTAATCGATTTTGGGTCAGGTCTTTACAAAATATTGAGCTGCTGTATAAAAGAAATAAAGATTGGAAGATTTAATTAAAAACAAACAAAATGTTCACTACAATCAGTGAGAAACACTTGTTCACCTTAGCTTCAAAATGCACCTCAGTCAAACTGAAATATCTGTGAGAATGAATCTCAATCACAATGACTCATTGTGTCTGATCTTACCTGCAGTCAGTTGGGATTTAGACACTGTGCTAATGGATTGTCACAACAAGTGATTCAACAAACAGCCACCTTCATTGTGCTAATTAATTAAAAACATTTCTTTGAGGTGTACCAAAGACTGTGCACATCTTCATTTAATATCATTCACGAGGAAATTAATTACATTTGGATAATCACTGTCAAATATGACAAATGCTTTGTGTTCTTATAAACCTTGCCATTTTATAATAATCTTAATAATTATAATATTTTTTGTGACGACACAGACTTGTCTGTAGAGACAACGGAATTTTAAGAAGTGACTGCTTGGCCATTGAGTCTTCATCTGTCCATGTGTACAGCACAGTATAATCAATGCTTAATTACTAAATAACTTTTGTTTCCTATGTATTATCTGCTTAGAATGGTTGTACCAGAAGGAGAGAGTAGCCTGAGGCTATGACTATACTGTGTACAAGTCCTATCTCTGCCCTACGCATGACCAGCACCCAGTGCTTCCAAGACACAAGAAAAAAAACCCCTCAAGAATCCATCGGAAATGCTACCAGGTCATTTAATTTGACCTTTATGAGAAAAACGCATAACCGAGAACACAAGAGGATCCAAAGCTGTCTGCAGCCACAGAGGACGAAATATTTCATGTAGAGCTTGGTGGTAAAATTGGTGTCTTTCCCAAAAAGCCAAGCATTACACTGTATACAGAGGGATGACCCTCTGTATACAGTGTAATGCTTTCCAGCATCATGATGTATTTTTTTCTGTCTAGCAAAGTCACCATCCCATAACTATTCATTTCAGCTCAATCTGTCAGTGCTTTTTGTGGTGCAGCATTTTTCCTCTAAACTAATGCATCTACCTCCTTGAACTATGGCTGATTGGATTTACCCTGGTAAATGGCCTGTGTTTGTATAGCGCTTTACCAGTGCCTAAGGACCCCAAAGTGCTTTACACATCCAGTCATCCACCCATTCACACACTGGTGATGGCAAGCTACATTGTAGCCACAGCCACCCTGGGGCGCACTGACAGAAGCGAGGCTGCCGGACACTGGCGCCACCGCGCCCTCTGACCACCACCAGTAGGCAACGGGTGAAGTGTCTTGCCCAAGGACACAACGACCAAGACTGTCGGACATACTGCACTTCACTGCTTTACACACAGTGCACACATGAAGCATCAGACATGAAAGAAATAGATATTTGCATGGGATGTTTGATGTGTTTGTAAATTACAAAGTAGTTAGATTAAGTGAATGTTACTGCATTCTGCAGAGCATCTATTTGCTTCAAACTGCTGTGACCATCAAATTGTCTCATTTTTTTCTCTGCAGTTTATTACCTTTCTCATTTACACAGTTTGCACAGTGTTACTATGTTATTAACACATGCCAAATTAAGGATACATCACGTGGCAGCAGTCAGAAGTGTATCATTGATGAGATTTCCCATGTTATTTCTCTAAACATACTGGTGAACCTAGATAGCTGATGGCAAAAACACAACAATAGAAGAAACCAAGTGTGCTCAAAGCACACAGCTAATATATCTAATCTAATAACTCCTATTATATGCCAGCCACAGACTGTGTTAGGTAATGCTTCTACTAAACTAAATTTAGCTTTATTAAAGGTCCAGTCTGGCTGGCAAGCTCATCCTGTTTAATGATTTTATTTCCAAAAATTATCTTGATTTTATGTTCCTAAATAAAACCTCGTAAAACAAAAACAATGGTTATTATTGAAACAGCCCCTCCAAATTTCAGTTTTATAGACCCTCAAAATAAAGTGAAAAGGATTGACTAGATTGCCATTAGGCATGACTTTAACATTGTTAAGTTGGTGTTTTTAATATGCATATTGATCAACACAGCAATAGCATTACCAAAGAACTTTTGTGTATTCTGGATCATTTCAGACACGTATCATATCCTACACCTAGTTATGTCCAAAGGCCTGTGGCCGATACTGCTCTCTTTGACAATAGGGTGTCTTTTTTTACCATCTCTGCGGACAGTAGAATCAGAAGGTGCTTTCTTAATAAAAAATTACATTACATTGTCTACCCATTTTTGTCTACCCATTTTTTAATGGGTAACACTCTTTTTAATACCTTTCCCAATAAACACTGGGCATCTGATAGATATGCAGCTCATGTCTATATTGGGTCTGTCGGTCCAGGAGCTATTCTGGACATCTATTCGACATTCATGGTTGGGCATCCAAATTGTGGACCTAGTTTGAATGTCGACATGTAGATGTCTATGACAGCTACAGGAAATTTATATGATTAATATATGTAATATTATAAATTTTGGAATTCATACTACAACGTGTTTAATAAGATTCAAAGAGCATTTGCATTATATATGGTTCATTTTGTAAGTATCCTGTTTTATTATGAAGAGCTGATTGTAAGAGCAAATAAATGTGGTTGTGATCGGTAGCTGGACTGAGAGAAGTTGCAACAGAAAGTACGAGAAGTTTGTACAAGTATGCATGTATGAACTGGACTACCTGCTTGACAGTCTTTGTTGATGCACACATTTTGCAAATTAGCTGTGAGAAGCTGGGGACATCCACTGATCACTCAGCATTCCCTCGTGCATTACTGTTACTGTACAGAAAACATGCCCTCCAGCCTCTTAAAAAATGGGACTACAGATCCTCCAGAAGCAGTATTAAATTGATGTCAAAAATTAGTAGGTTTGACATTGAAAAGACATCGACAACGACCGCATTTGGACTATAAATAGCCTGTACACAGAGGGACGGATATCAACACTAGATGTTAAGCAGACGTCAGAAAAAGACGTAACCTGGCGTTACAAAACAACCTCTTCATTGGACCAAAATTGTACACCGGAAAAACGACACCCCAACAACAACACATCATTCCGATGTCACTTTGCGCAGTATGTTCAGTTTAGATGTCTTTAAAGTAATAAACAATGTTCATCTAAATAGTGACAGGTCAAAAAGTCCTAACACCCAATGACACACAACTATCGGTGCTACCTCAGGACTATGGTCCCCTACACTTTCACAAAAGTTGCAGTAAACAAATTATTGAGTAGATATGCCAAAAATTCCTGAAAATGAACTCAGAAAAGACTGAAATTGTTTTTATTGACAAAGAAAAAAGGAAAAAAAAAAAGAACGAAAGTCTATAAAAGCCTGTCTATAAAAGATGCTTAAGTCTTAAATCCAGACCAGAAATCTTAGCATAATTCTGAACTATGGCCTAGATTTTCACAGCTAGATAAAAAAATTTAAAAAATATTTTTTTAAAAATGGATGCATGTTTGAAGTAGATACAGATTAGAATATTATAAGAGTATCTTTATTGATCTTGAGCACATTACTCTATTTTCAAATCTCTGCACTGGTTTTTTTTGTGTGTCAAAGGACAGATCTTAAAAATACTGGTACAAGTTTACGAAGCATTTAATCTACTCGTGCCTCACAAAACACCCAGAATGCTCAGGTTAAAGGGAACATACCATTTATGCACATTCCCATATTTAGAACGAAACAAAAGTGAAGCAGTTTTTATGGTACTCACCTGTGGAACAAGCTTCCTGGACAGCTGTGCCAAGATGAGACACATCTGTTATTTCCTTTAAATTACAGTGCCTAAAACTTTTTATTATCAACAAACAATGTCTGCAGGATCCTCTTAACCTTTTGTTTATTTATATTTCAAGTGAGTTGTTCCCTGGTTTAACATATTGTGTAAAGATTAGTCATTGCATAACAGAATAAAAGAGTTCACTCCCACAGTTTTACCTCTGTTTTGACAAAGTCTGGTCCATGAATCAATTTTATTGGAATTCCACGTGAAAGACCAACACAAAGTGGTGTACACGTGAGAAGTGGAACGAAAATCATACATGTTTCCAAACATTTTTTACAAATAAATAACTGAAAAGTGGGGTGTGCGTAATTATTCAGCCCCCTGAGTCAATACTTTGCTGCAATTAAAGCTTGCCAGTTCAAGGGAGTCAAATACTTTTGCAAGCCACTGTATGTAACAAGACAGCTGTGAACATGGGAAACAACTCTTCTCTTGTTTGTTTTTTGCTTCTAATTGTTGTTTGTTCCATTTCCATAATAATTATGTGTAAATGCCATACACAATGATATGTATTCATATGTTTTACATGTTCTATCTCTCTCCATCTTTCTATCCCTCTGCATAGCTTCGGCTTATGCATTTGTATAGTGCTATACAAATGCATAAACACATTTTGGTTGAATTTTAAAAGCAAGCAACATCAGGGAAGTAACGCAACTACATCCACTTAATAAAGTTTATGTAGCTAGCTGAATAAAGCTACCATGCAAGACCTCATTGCTCAAACAAACCTGGCATTTAAGAAATGAACTGTTAGGAGACATTTTCTCTTGAAATTCCAGAGATGCAAAATATGCAGCACTGAAACCAGAAAGACATACCAGCTGATAAATCAAATATTT